GTGTGGGAATCAAGAAGAGTAAGCTTTGTGTGTCTCCTTGGAGTCTGGATCCTTTCCTTTTCTCAGCCAGTCCAGAGCACAGCCTTTGAAGCTTGGCTTAGTGGCTCAGCCCAGGCATTGTGCTGATGAAGGAGGAGGGGCCCTTGCTGCAGCCCAGCCTGATGGATGGCTGCCACAGTCAGGCCTGAAACATCAATGGTTCAAAACTGAAGGGACATGGTGGTAAGAAGCTGACCAGCAGAGTATTAAGCCTCCTTCCTGGTCCACGAGATCTACTTCCAGATGCATACTGTCCTATTGAGGCAGCTTCTTTGGCTTTTCACTGTAAACCATAATGGTCCACGGTCACTCACCTTGACATCTGACCCCTTGATTCTTATAGCACATAGAAAATGTTTGAATATATTCAGCTACCATTCTATACTTGTAATATTTTTAATCTCCCAGAGAAGCCCAGCAATCTGTGTTTCATATAACAGGAGCCCTCACCAAGCAGTTAGAGACACAAAGAAACCTGTCAGCAGGTATTGATGAGAGTCCTGACCAGGCAGGGAGGCAGTGTTGTCTGTACCATGGAAAAATTGTCTCTAGGAAATTAAAAGTGTGCCACAGTGTGCTTGGTGAGCATCTGTTTACATGCCTGTTCCCTCTGCTGCCAACACCACTGCCAACCAGTGGGGTCAGCATGGTGGGTGAATCAGGAAGTTGCTTCAGCTGTAGGTAGCCCCAACTGGATGTTAAACCAAAAAGGACAGTGACAGACCTAGATAACTTCTATTTTATAACTTTTTGAACTGAAAAGAAAATAGACTACTTTCAAAACAAGATGACATCAGGTAGAAAGGGAAAAATAATAAAAGCCATTGGATGTGTGGTGGTGGTGGTGGTGTGTGTGTTATAGAGGAGGTATTTCTGAAAGAGGGAATAATAAACATGGAGTCTCGTGGTCTACCTCTTCCCATAGTTCAATGATAGAACTAACAATGTTCAAGGGGATGCACCATAGACAGCCATAGTGCCTTCGACAAGGGAAGATGCAAAAGGAACATAACTGTGCTGCCTTTTTGCTGGCAGACAAGTATTGCCTCAGTTACTAGCACTTCCACTGTGCATAAGAGACCACTATCCACAAACTAGGCATTACCTTTGTACATCAAAGCTAGACAGAGTGGGTCAAAGTTGACCTCATTTCGTAGGTCCCTGGGCAGCCAGTCACAACCATGTAGCTCAATGCTTTACCGGTGGAGACAAGAGGGAAGTGACAGACTCCTCTACTAGCCTGTGCATGCCCAAGTTTGCCTGACTTCCCCTCCGGCTGGATCACAGATGTACCTCTGACCACAAGAGACACTGTGACAAGGGTAACACCCTGACAGATGAACAACAAAGTGGTAGAATCCTGAACGGTGACATGGAACAAAACTAACCTAAACTAAGAGAAGTGCATTTCTCTCTGCCTCCACCATGGGCTTGAGGCTCCTTCCGAACTGTGACTTAGCTTTCACCCTCTCATGTGCTGTGGCATTTGGAGACTGAGGTCTTAAAAGAGGAAATAACAAACCCTCAGACGGTCCTGGCTTTCTCTCCTTCATATTAGTCTTCCCAGATTTCTGGAAGTGTCTCCATTTTAAAGACAATGGTGCGATGTGTATTTCTGAGAGTTCATATAAGACAACTTCACAAATTTGGAGAAGGAATATCATAAAATAGACACACTTCAAAATCATTCCAAATTTATCAAAAGTGGAAAGTCCTTGAGAAATTCTATCAATCAAACGGTTGTTAGACCCAAGCGTGTTCAAGGTGAACAGATTGGGATTGTGATGAGTGGGGTCACAGCCCCCAAACCTGCACAGGGTGGTTCTAACCCCAGATGTGACAGTGTGACTGTATTTGGAGATAGTCTTTAAATCGGTAATGAAAATTTACAGGCAATGGGATCCCTGGGGAGACAGGACACATACAATGCAGACTGACAGCCAGGAAAGATGAATACTTGTGCCTGGCATTCTTTTTATACATTTTATGATCCCCACCTAGAAAATGGTGCCATCCACATGCGAGGCTCTTCCCACTTTAATTAACCTAACAAGATAATTGCCCACAAGCTTGCCTGGTTGTTTTTAGGTGGAATCCAGCTAGCAACTACAGTTGACATCACCGCATGTGAACACAGGTGGGAGACAGCTTTCTGCAAACCAAAAAAAAAAAACAGGAAACAACAAAAGTAAGTGCCGTTAACGTCTCAGACTTTAAACAGTAAGAAAAGTAAATGTGTGTTGTTTGCGCTCCTTGGTGAAGGGACTCTGGAGTGGCAGCCAGAGCATAGGGACAGAAGGAGTCATCCTTGCAGCCTGGGAGTGGATAAAGACTTATGGAGTGTGAAACCAAATCTTCAAACCACAATAACAAAATTGCATGGGGTTTATTAAATCGATATCCTAGGAAAGTTAACAGACAGGAAAATATAGCTGCAATATCTGAAGCCAGAGATTAGTAACTGGAATCTACCTGCCTAGAGACCAAGAAAACCTGTCGACTGACAAGAAAATAAGGCAAAAACAAACACAAAATGAATATCCTTGGGCAAAGTTCAGTTGTATGGCATGTGTAAGAATAAAACTCCAACATTATTATCAACAAAAAAAATGAATGTTTCAACATCAATGGAATTCTATGCCATTCATTAACATGGTAAATTTAGAATACTAGACAATAAATGATGGGCAGGAGATGAAGATGATAGAAACTTCCCAACAGAGACAAGATAAACTAGCCAAGTGGTTCTAGAAAACAATCTAACAGTATTGGGAAAATTAATTTTGAGAACATCCTATGATCTAGCACTTGACTTCTACCACCTATTGATGCCTAAGGTATAATTTTTTAAAAGAAGAACAAGAAAAAGAGGAAGAGAATGAAGAAGAAGAGAAAGAGGAGGAGGAAGAGGAGAAGGAAGAAAGGAAGAAAGAAATCTTCAGGGGGTAAGAATGCCTACCATATATGCATGAGGGTGTGAATTCAGATCCCCAGCACCCAGCCAGATGTATAATCCCACAATCCCATCTTTGGGGTTGGTGGACATTTCTGGGGCTGAACTGACTGTAGCCAAGGAGAAAAACAGCGATCTCTGGGCTCAGTGAGACACCGTCTCAGTGGGACAAGATGGTGATAAAGGACACAACTGCCTCTGGCTTCCCTACACATGTGCCTTTGTTCCCAGTGCCAGCAGTGCTGAAGCTGGTACTGAGCATCTCATTATATTGTCCACATGGCAGATGCTTCTCAGGTCTTTCAGCCACAAGCACTCTCCTTTCAAACTTCCTCCATCCTTGCCTTACTACCATCTTCTTTTCCATTGTCACCTGTTCAAGCATTGTCTTCTTGTGCTAAATGTCCCTCTATCAGGAGTCATCCCTTCTGTAAGCTGTTATTCGCTTATGTAAAGAATGTGATGGAATGTCATGACACTGAGCTTGCAATAATTACAAAAAGAAGAGCTGATAAAATGCCTCAATCTCCTTTTGCTTTTCTCTCTCAGACATGTTCCTCCAGCTTAGTATTCACAAAGTACCTTCAAAAGCCCTCCGTGAATATGCTGAGGGAACTGAGCTAATGAATTTTCTAGGAGATCAAAAGTTGTAAGAAAAAAACTGGAACTTTTAAGTTACTCTAAGGCAGGGTTAGGGGTGGCAACTTCACAGGAAGGAACTGGAAACAACTTGAGGAAGGGGGCGTTCATGAACTGTGGGAGATCTGAGGCTTGTGCCCATTAATTAAGAAGATTGGAGGAAAAAAACCACATTTTATGCTTTTTTTTTTTTTTAATTTTATGCCCTCTGTGGGATGGGGGTGGGGTGGGGGTTGTGTACTTGTGTCTGGGTGTCATTTAGGCCAGAAGAGGTCACTGAATCTCCTGGAGTTCTGTTGAGTGTAGGCCCGCCCAATATGGGTGCTGGAAACAAATTCCAGTTCTCCTCAAGAGCAGCAAGAACTCTTAACTCCTAGGCATCTCTCCTGCTCGAACACATACTTGAACCGGATTCCCATATTCTTTGAACAGAGAGGGCCTGATGTGTCCCAGGTAGAATTTAATTTCAAACGGGAACGTTTCAAACACAGGAATGTTAAGTGCTGCGATGGCTCTCAATATATTATTGGAGTCTAACTTAGGCTAAGGAGCAGACTAAATTTCCTAAGAGAAGAGATTGGAGTTTTTGCATAAATTCCATGATGTTTTTGTCACTTGTCAGTTGGTGCCTTGTCCCCAACCTCCACAGTGCCTTGAAAAAAAAAAAAAATGTTCCTGAAGTATTCAACACATCTTGGTTTTCAGATGATGGTGCTGGCCTCCTGGTTTGTTGTTGTTTCCTTGTTTCCTCCACTGTCACTGGTGTGTCTCCTTTTAGCAATGTAACTAAAAGGTCAGAAGGTGTCCAGGTGTCCGCAGGCAGTGCTCCAACAATTTCATTTTTCTTTTTCTTTTTCTTTTTTTTTGTCAGCTGTAGTTAAGGCCAGGATGTTAAGATTTGAAAACGATCCTTTTCTCCTGCAGGTAAACGGGCTTCGAGCTCCTGGGATCTGGAACCGAATTTGCTTTCTTTAACAACACGTTCATCCACGAGGGTAGGAAACACGGGTCCCCCATCACAGGCTCTCACCGGGGAGTGAAGGCAAGGTGCCTACCAGAGCTTCAGAAAGCACGCTGTGTCTTTAAGACTCTGAAACCGGGAGGCGAGCCTCCTCCTCAGCGTGCCCGCTGATTGGCCATGCGTGAAGGAAGTGGGCGGTGAGCGCGCCGCGTCTGTTATTGTCGGCGCCGCGCGGGTTGCAAGACGGGCGGGAGAGACGTGCGGGCCACCTCGTCTGCCCGTGCCCCCACTCGCGGGCGTGGGACGTGGGTGGAAAACGGGCCTCCTCCATCCCGCGGGACTCAGAGCCGCGGCCGCCGTCCCGCGCGCGTGCCGAGCCGCCGTGGGCCGGGGTCCGCGCTCGCGCCCCCGCCCTGAGCCCCGGCCCCACTTGACGTCGCTCTGCGCCCTGTTCTGCAGGTTCGCTGGTGCCATCATGGCTCAGAGGGCCTTTCCGAATCCGCACGCCGATTATAACAAGTCCCTGGCCGAGAGCTACTTTGATTCTACCGGGAGGGTGAGTTGAGGGTTGCCTGTGAGGCCACCTACCCCGTTCCCCACCCCTGAGGCCCCCTTGCCCTGCACGGTGGGGGCGCTCATCCATCCCCCGCCGAAGACTTACATAAGTGCCTAAGTCTGGACGTACTGAGCCCTGACATACTGAGTAGGGGATGAAAACCCCATGTCAACCCCCTTAGCTGTGGAAGAAATCCACTTATAAAGACTGTCTTCGAAGTTCACTGCCTAAGCGGCATTAAGGGAGGTGAGGGACCTGCCTGTGTTCACGTTAGTCCTTAGTGAGTGTACACAAGTCTGGGCCTGTGGGGAGGACGTCTTTAAAAGCGATGCTGCTGAGAGAAACGTGACCGACGGGCCTGAAATAATTTGTAATTTTACTGCTTTTTCCGAAGCCATCTTTAAAGCTGAGAGTGGGGAACCAAAGATTAGAAAAAATCATTCGTGCTTAGGGTTAATCTGGTTTCCACGCCAGAGAGCCTGGGGTGTGGCAGCCAGGCACTGTTTTCTCAAGCCTCATTGGCGAGTTGGATTATTGGAAGGAATACCTAATTTTGGCAAATCCCTGAGAGTTGAAGAGTGTTTATACACTGTGTAGCCCAGGCTGAACTCATGATAGCCCAGGCTGGCCTTGAAATCACCATCCTCCTGCCTCAGCCTCCCTAGTGCTAAGATCAAGTGTAGGTCGCTGTATCCAATGGCCATAATTATTTTTTAATTTAAGCATATTTCATTGAAACTTGTCGACGCTGCAGAGGGACAGTTTATATGCTATTCTGGTAGCCCGTGGAGTTCTCATCTGTCCTGTTTATGTGGTTCTGTCCCCTGACCTCTGCAAACCCCTTATTCAGTCATTCAGTGGGAGGGGTAAACATCTCGGAGGTGCTTTGTGGGAGGGTACCGAAGTGTGTATGTGTGGAGCTATAGGGGGAAGAGGAGCTTTATTTAAAGACTGGATTGACCAGGACAAAGCTGTGTTACTTGTCTAGAGTCCCATGGCCTTCCTGACACCTTCTGGGCCTACATTCTGCCTCCCTCTCCAGATCTGAAGCTAAGGTGTGAGTTAGTCCTGTCTGGTTAGAGGAAGGTGCACTGCTTCATGCCAAGTTGGCAAAGGGAGCCCTTGAAAAAATTGTCCTAATGATGGAAGTTCACTCCTCAGCTTTAGGGTGCTCCTAAATTAATGCTTTTACACGTTAAACTTGGGGTTTTCTTGTTCTTGTTTTGCATTTTTTTTTCTTCAAAAAAAAAAAAAAAATGTATCCACTCATTGTATGTGTGTGCTGTGCAGGCCCATACATGCTACAGCTATTTAGAGAGAGCATGGGAGTCAGTTCTTGCCTTCCACCTTGTTGAGGCGTGGTCTGCTGTTTCTGCTGCTCAGTGGTGTATTCCAGGCTAGCTGGCCCTTGGGTCTCTGGGTGACTCTTGTTCCTGCTGTAGGACTACTGGGATTGAGGTGTGGGTTACCACATTTGGCTTTTTATGTGTTCTGAGATCAAATGCCGGTTAGTCAGGGTTTCATAACTAATGCTTGGGTGCACTGAAACATCTTAGCCTGTCTCTTTGGAGTTTCGGACACTAAGCTAAAACTCACTTTGTAACCCTTTCTACTCAAAATGATACTCCTGCCTCAGCTCGCTGAGTACGGGTATCATAGATATGAGCCACCACATCCAGCTGTCAACTCTAATTCATTCATTCATCTATTTCTTGAAGGGTCTCACTATTTAGCTCTTGCTAGCCTAAAACTTGATATGAAGTCCAGGATGGCCTCAAACTCATCAAGGTCCATTTGCCTTTTCCTCCTAAATACTGGAATTAAAAAGATATGTCACAAAAGACACAAACCCAAACTCTAAACCTGAAAAACAAGGTGACATACATAGGGTTAGTGTTGAATGGAAAAAAGTCAAGCCCTAGAGCCCTGCCTCCTATTAACACATGGATGTGGGAGGAGCTTCCTGGCATCTTCAGGGACTCTTCATACTTTCAATTTCAGTGATTGGGCGTTGGCCATAGTCTTTATTCTCAGGAATGTCACCTTCCTGTTCTGAGGCCAAGGTATTCTCACTGTGGTCCCCTAATGGCAGGCTGACCAGGACTGTTCAGCAGATAGCTATGGTCATGTCAGGCTACTCCTTGACTTCTATGAGACTTACAGATCTTATTTATATTAATATTAAAGTCCATTATATCTTACTAAATGTGCTTCAAGTCTTGTCAAAGTCCTAACCTTTTGGCAGAGATTGTTAAATAACAGGCAAGTATCTATCAAGCTGTGGATTCTTAGTGACGCTTGTACTACAGTGGCCACAGATGGTATCAGGGATGCTCCTTAGAGGTGAACCTTTGATTGGACTTCTTACAATCTCAAAAGGCTGTCTGCATGTCCATGTGTGCAGGGAGACATGCACGTGTGTGGGTTAGAGGATGATATCTGTTGCTACCTGGGTGCTGTCCTTTGTTTTTTGTTGTTTTGTTTTGGTTGTTGATTGTATTTTTTTGAGTTAGGGTCTGTCTGGCATGCCAGATAGGCCATGACTGGCTGTCCAGTGAGCTCCAGGAATCAGCATGTTTCCTCTTCCCCAGCTCTGAGATTATAAGCAAATCCAGCATGCCCTGCCCTGCTATAAGCACATGCCAGCATGCCTCACTGTTCTGTATACTGGCTCTAGAGGTCAAACTAAAGCTTCTATGCTTGTAAAGCAAACACTTTACTGCCGAGCCATCTCCCTAACCCAAGATGTTCTTCCTAAAAGTGAGATTATAAGGACATTGAGGTGGCTTGGCAGGTAAAAGGGCTTGCCAGGCAAGCTGAGGACCCAGGCAGGAGAGAAATGACCCCTGCAGTTGTCCTCTAACCCTCCACGCATGTGCCTGTCATACATGCACGAACAGGTACACACACTCAAATTCAGAATAATAAAACAGACTGGTTGGTTTAGGTTTGATATCACAGTCTTTCCATGATGAAACATGTTTCTGCACTTAGAATGCTCCTCAGCTTTGTTTTGACATTTACAAGTTTTGTGTGAAGTCCTAGCAAGTTCCTGAGTAGTTGGTACATTAAAGTGACTTTTTAAGATGCTCAGCCATGTACAGTATACAGTGCTTTGAAAATGCTTTCCAGTTGCCTTCATAATGAATAGGCCTTTGTAAAAGAGCAGAATTAAGAGCATCTGTTGCTCTTCATAGGACCTGAGTTCTAGTCCCAGAACCCACATGGAAGCTCACAACAGTCTATAACTCCAGTTCAGGGGATCAGACACTTTTGGCCTCTCAAGGCACCAGGCACACACAGTACACAGACAGACAAACTATCACAAACCCACACGTATATAATAAAAGTAAATCTGAAAAAATTAAGAATGTGCCTTTCTGATGTGACTTGTGAACCCCAGCTCGTCCATCAGTTCTGTAGGCCCTCATGGACCCCCAGCATTAGAGTCACCCTTGCACAGAGTGGGTGGCCCTTAAGAAACCACTGAAGGTAGCTTCAGTTTAAAGGCGATAGGAGCTGAGCAAGGGCAGTCAGTAACAGGTTGAGGATGTAGCCAGGCCTCTTCTTGCCACTCACCATGCTGGGTGAGAATCTCATCCTAGGTTTGATGTCATTTGTGCTTGAAGTTCCTGTTGACCACGGACTTGTTTCGCTTTTAATGCTGTTGCTTTATCCATTCCTAAAATTAACAGAAACAAATAGAGTATTTCCTAAAAGGATTAACATTGTCAGGGCTTGGAAGCCAGCAGCTAAGATTCAATGGTTATCATTAAGAAAAGGACTTGTACCTTGTGCACACCTTTAATCCCAGCACTTGGGAGGCAGAGGTAAGGGGATCTCTGAGTTCAAGGCCAGCCTGATATTTTCTATCTGACTGTGGAACCTAGGCTAGTCTCAAAGTAGCTGACCTCCTGCATCAGCCTCCCAAATGCTGGGCTTGCAGGCATGCACTGCCATAACCTGGCTCATGGTAATTTTTTAAAATAAACATTTTGGCTTAAATATGAGCTCCCTGTGTAGTTTCTGGAAAACCTAAACCTTTAAGGCTGCTTTACATTCCATATGATGATATTTTATTTCCATGAATAGAAAATGTCATCATGAAGGTGCTATTAATTCTGATAGTGTGATTGACTTTTACTCTTTTTAAAAATGCTGTCCTTTCATTTCTACAGCTGACTCCTGAGTTCTCACAGCGCTTGACCATTAAGATTCGAGAGCTCCTTCAGCAAATGGAAAGAGGCCTCAAGTCAGCAGATCCTCGGGATGGCACTGGGTACACCGGCTGGGCAGGTATAGAGAATGCTGACTGAGCTAGCATGCACACTGGTGAGAGCCAAAGCAGGGCCTTCCCATAGCAGTTAGGCTTGGGCACAGCCTGCAGGCCCTCCTGTGTGTGTCCTGGTAGCGTAGAACTCCCACCCCACAGTTACCTTTCTGTGTGCTCATTGTTTAGGGAGGGCAAGCACCCGGTGGGTATTCATACCTGGCATTGGGGTGTCTACTGTTCTTGTGAAGGGAAAAATTGGAGGAAACGAGAGAGCTGAGGGACCACGGTTAGTCTCCCTGCTGCAGACAGGATGCTGTCAGAATACTGAAGAAAGCAATCTAGGGTGCAGCATTTCCCATGCGCTTGGAATAGTAGGGAGGCTCCATTCAGAGCTTTAGGGTGTTGAATCTGAAAATGCAGGCTCCTTGGCCTCAGCGATTCATAAGCAGAAGCCAGGAATGTGCATTTTACAAACAAATGTGGAAGCTGACCTGTGGGCTGCTACTGAGAGCTGCTGCTGTATAAGAGAGACTGGCTAACAGCAGGAGTGTCACAACCCTCTTTAGTGTGAGGAGACACATTTCCTTACAAGGTGGGGAAGACAGGTAAAATCTATAACATGACTGGAGGGAGCATTAGGCCAATATTGTTCATTCATTCATTCATTCATTCATTCATTTATTTATTTATTGGGTCTTGGCTGTCCTGGAACTCACTATGTAGATGAGGTTTTCCTCAAACTCACAGTGATCCACCTGCCTCTACCTTTCAAGTGCTGGGATTAAAGACATGTGCTACCATGCCTGGCATAAGGCAAAATAACATTGACCCAAACAGTTGAGTTTTAAGTTTATTATGTATTTTAGAAGCTAAACACAGGAAACATTAGTGGAGAATAAAATGAAAGTATTTTGTGTCCAGAAGGAAGTTACTGAAGTATCATTTATTACCTACTGTAATTTCAGCTGTAGTGTAATTAATTGACAGACTCATCTCATTAATAAAGAGCCTTGCCATCTTTATTTTAAATTAACAGAATTTGGAGAAAACAGAGTAAGTCCCCTACAGAGGTGCTGTGACATGGCCTTCCCTGCCAGGTTATACACTACAAGCCTAAGCTCGGGTGCTTTCCTCAGATGTTGGAAATTTCCATTATTTATGAAGTTTATTTTGTGGTCTCTGACCAGAGAAAGAGGCACAGGCTGAGACAGCTGGCTAGACACAGTTCCTGGGAAGACTGCAAAAAGGGACTTAAATCCCTAATTCACCCATTCACATGGACTCATCTCATTATAAAGAACTTTGCTTGGGAGTAGGAGAGAGATGGTGGCTGACTGATTTCAGGTATGAATGACTAACTTAACAAGTTCAGGAAAAGCCATCCATCAAACATCCTGAATTGCTAGAGTTAGTTGAGAAAAAGTCTTCCTTCAGCATAGTTTTTTTTTCCTCCGAAGTGCAGTGCTCCTGGTTTAAGCTTCTTGGCTGTGTGACATTTGTGGCATTGTCTCCTTCCTCTTTCACTATCTAACCCTCAAGCAGCTCACTCTCAATGCTGGCTCTGGGAAGCAGCTTCCATGGCAAGCATCTGAGGCAGATTGGCACACTGAGCAGTGAGAATATCTTCAGTTGCTGTTGGGTTTCTGAGGAAGCATAAAATCTTGTAGATAAATTTGCTAATGGCTTTTGGAGCAAGGTTCCTAATGTTCTATCATCAAATGCTGTTAAAATGCTATTACTCCTGCATAAAATGTACCATCTCCTCCAGCATTCAGGTACAGTAAAGGCTGTCTTGTGCCAGTATTCAGTCTGAAAAATGTAAGGCTCTGAGTTGATTAACCACAGGAAATCATAATCTATAAGCCTTCTGTAACCCTACAATTTATGGACTACTATCTAGTGACAACTAGTTTCATTACTGAGCACTGCATCTACGAACAACACAGTGGGAGCAATTGATGCTGGGTGTCACCGCAGTGACAACCTGATGGCATGTACCCTTGTATATGGTTTGTGTGTGTTCAGGTGCTCTTCTAAAAATGACACTTTAAAAATAAAATCAAAACAAGATACTTCATTTTTACTTTGTTCAGCAAGACATTTGGAATTTAGAATCTTACTTTTATAAAAACTACACATTGTTTCTCATTTTGCCAAGTTATTCACAAATTTAGGAAATGCTATTTTACTGTTAAAAAAAACTATAAAACTTCCTTTAACACTCACTTTTATTGAGCATTTGTTGTCAGTGGACAGGGAAAGCTGTTAAAAATTGTCTCTATGTTACAGTGTAGTTTGTGAGAGCCAAGGCTGTGATTACAGTTAATTAGAACTTTAGCATCTTATTATCTAGTGGAAATATGGCTGATAGCCAGTAAAATTAGGATTTGGAATGGTTTACATTCATCATTTTAAGTGTTTCTGTTTCTCCCATGGAAAAGTCATGGAGGAAGTTGAAGACTGACATAGTAGCCTTGGGGCCCAAGCAAAACTATCTTAATTGTGTGTTGTACAGCTAATTGGACCTGCTCCTCATTTTTATTTTTCCATCTGCAGATTCTCTCTAACATCTCTCCACTTTGGTCAGGAATTTTGTTAGAACTTTCTAAGGTATTAAATTTTTAAATCAGGAAAGTAATATTTTCCACCTCTTCACTTCTAAAGGAACTTGAAACAATTTTCTTCTTTTGGAAAAAGAAGTCTTCATCTCACACATAGTGGTTTTTCCATAAAGCCTGTTACAGAGAGACATTTCAGAGTTCTAAGTTCTGCCGGGTACTCAGTGTGCCTCCCCTCCAGGAGAGACTACAGCCGATGTGCCATGTGTTCCTGCCTCCTCTAACCGATGAACTCATTCTCTGCTTCCCCTTTCTTCCCCTTTCAAACCCTTGTTTACTAGTGTGGATTTCCATGTACTATGCATACATCAATCCATACTAACCCCACAGTAACTCATCTCTCTTCTCCTTGACTGAACATTTAAAGCTGTAGAATGAGGCTATGCGGCTCCCTGATGCCTTGTACGTGCTGTCTGCTTGCTTAGCTAGCCTTGAAGATGAAAGGGTTCTAGTGGAGAGAGATAGCTCTGTGCGTTTAGTACTACATGTGTACTTACATCCAAATGGATGCACTCCCATAGCTTTTTCCATTTCTGTCTTTTAGTGAGTCCCGGGAGTAATAGGGACAAGGTACTTCAACTTTCTGCCGGGGCACCTCTGTGTGATGTGTGCTTTGGAAGATAGCCATTACAATTAGAAGCTTTCCATCTGATTCTGCCTAATGGTGTGGTCTAATAGCTAATTCTGGCTTGGATAAGAGTAAACTTTGGTATAACCATATGTGTGCAAAATACATTATTAATAAGAGTTACTATGTCCTGGTTAAACAAAACTTGAAGTAAATAAAGGACTGGCAGAACGGGTCAGGGTAAAAGGCATGCTTCCCAAGCATGGGGGGCTGGAGTTCCCCAGCTCCCAAATACAAACAGAGAGCATAGAAGCCCACTTGTCCCAAACCCAGCACTCTCTAGTAACCCTAGCACTCAGGAAGTAGAGATGGTATCTTTAGGCACACTGGCCAGCTAAACTATCCAAATCTGCCAGCTTCAGGCTTAGCAAGAGACTCTATCTCAGCATATAAGGTATAAATTGGCCAAGGAAAATGCCTGTCATCAACCTCTGACCTCCACACACACAGGTCTCCATGTATGCAAACACTAGCACACTACACACAGATACACTTAAAGCAGAGGAGGAAGGTGGACAGCCCTCACTATTCAAATTGTTCTGCAACAGGACTAGCTTGGGTTTTTACTCTAACATGGAATATAAGGATATTTTACAGAACTGAGCATATTAACTGTGTGGTTTTAGTCGAATTTAAAACATTGTGTCTATGAGATGCCATCATTAAGCCTCACACCCCTGGCATTTATCCTTTTACACTTGTGGTAGAGAAGCAAAATTCCATGACCCTGGAAGGAAAAGAGTAAAAGTCAAAGCACTGCTCCTAGTAACAGTCACGCTGACATTCACATGACAGGAGGGGTGAGAAAGTGCACAGACATCGTGCCCAGTGGAGAAAGCAGATCCCCTCCCACATGCTTTTAACCCCCTGCTCTGCCTGCGTGTATCTCCACGGTGTGGAGTCTATACGGGGTTTCCATGTCAGAGCGGAGAAGTAGAAGCAGAGCAAGGCCAAGCGCTTGGGTTCCACAGCCAGCAGGTGACAACGATAGGCTCTACCCAGCGAGCCTGCCCCACCAGTCATGTCCTTTGCCTTTTGAGTGTGTGCATGTTTCCTACCAACGACTACATTTGTCTTCATTGTGTACGTTTGTACGCGAAGATTTTCTTAAGATCTCTGACATGGAACAGTTTGAACCATGACAACCTGATACCTGTACTGTACAACATTGTACAATTGCTTATGACCAATCAGTTCAGTGTTTTAAAAAATATTAAAAGAATTTGAAAAATTCTTTACAGAAACATGCCTTATTACCAAGGTGGCAGAGGGAAGGGCAATTACTTTTAAGCCTGCAAGTAGGTTATTAAGGATTGGACATAAAGTAAATCCTGGACATTTTTCTCAGCATTTGCAGCAAAAAAACAAAACCAAAAAAAACAAAACAAAACAAAACAAACAAACAAAAAAAAAACAATTCTGGCATTCTTTGTAGAGAATGTGCTTTCCATTTTCAGACTCTATAGTTACACTCAGTGTAGATTATAAAACATGAATTGACCCAAAGAAGATTCTTCTCATAGTGGCTTGTATTTGAAAAGGGTTGTTGAAAATCTTCTCAAGTGAGTTCTCATCTGTCTAAAATCAGTTGGCAGCTGTTAATAAGTGATATTTCAAATAAACCATCTCAGTTGTTTCTCTGTAGTGCTCCTTAAGAATGTATTACACTGGAGGGTAATGCACAGTGGTTGAGGTGTGGCATGTGCTAACAGTCAGTGTTGGACTGTGTATTTACAGTCTACATCTCCCAGCAGACTAACCGCTAGCAGGTTAGGAG